TACATCACCTAAGGAAAACAGGTCGTTGACAATCTTTGCTGTTATACATGTGGTCCTAAACAGGGGACTGGCTAAAGAAATTGTGGTACATTCTCAAGATGTAGTATTGAGCAGTTAATAAAAAGAATGACTTAGTGTGTTCAGTTTTGTACCTGGGGTTTGTTCTAAGACATGAAGACAGAGAAATGATTGTCATGAAGAAGAAAGTTTATACCCACAGACCCCCAGAACCAGGAGGCAGGCACACCATGCCATGCAGGGCTACATGCAGAAGGACCATGGCTAGTCAGGAGGCAGAGAGGGAGGACAGAGCATGGCCCAGAGCCTTTGCTGGGGTTTGTGGCAAGGAATGGATGAAGCAGGTATGTACACTAAATAAATTTAGGATTGGATAGTTTGAATAATTTTGGTGGTCTCTGGGCTATTGGGGTGGTCCCTAGTTGTCTGGGGCCTGGCCTTGTGGTGGTTTAGGGCAGTAGGAACACTGCATTGGTGTGATTTTGATCAAACTGAGTTTGATAAAGAAGATGGTTGTGGGTGTGGACTCTGGATTGATTGGTTTGTATATCAAAGACTCACTCTCAGGGGAGTCATTTGCTAATCTCTGGAAATTAGTCCTGGAATGGGGCAGTGTTGCCAGGATGAAAGCCACAAATGCCAGAGTATCAAGAACACAGAAAATAAGAAAATATAATTAATACAATTGCATCATATCAAGGAAATTTGAGGCAATGCTAGTGGAGAGTATGGCATAAGATGCCATTAGCCAAGAAAATAGATCTGAAATTCTTGGGGTCTCTAACAATATCTTGGTGGAGTTGTATAATATGTTAAAAGTATGATATATCTATATATCTATGTATCTGTATCTCTCTCTCTATCGCTCTATCTATTTATATCTCAAGGTGGTGGGTCCAGCAGTTATTTTGTTGCAGGGTATGAAATGGTAAGTTAGTAGAGTGTATGTAAAGATTAGTGATACCAATAAAAAGAGAACAAACCAAAAAATAAAAAAATTAAAAAATAAAAGAAAAAAAAAAGAAAACAAAAGAAAACAAAACAAAACAAAACAAAAAGATTAGTGATACCATGTAGCCAAAAGGAAAAGAATGGTTGTGGTGGTCATGGTGGGATATCAAAAGAGGCGAAAAGTCTTGGGAAGTACTTGGTTCTCTCCCCAGAGGGTTGAAGGATTTTACTGATATGAGGCAGGTGCTTAAGGAGAAAGCAATAATCTCCATTAATATTTAGAATGGAAGATAGTAGTAACCTCTACCAGATTTCCCTATGGGCATGGGAGGGTAGGAGTGTGCCTTTTGGCAGGGAACAAAGACTGTAGCCGGGTCATAGGCTAAGCAGACAGTAAGCTCAGAACTATAATGGGATCCCTACTATCAAAGGAAGAAAAGCAAAAATGTCCTGTGTCTAATTTGTGCCTTAGGAGAGCCAGCCCATAGGCACCCATGGGCTCACCTCCTAAAAGTGAGGTCTTGGACTGGGGCAATCTTATCTAGGATGTGGAACTGGGGTATCCTTTCCAAAAGGGTACCCACTTGAGGGGACGTGGGTCTCAGCATTTGCAACAATGGCTTATTTAGAGGGTTTGGGTCTCCAGATTGTAAGTTAAGGAAATCACACAGAACAATGGTAATAAGACCAACAGTCAACAGAAAGGTATGTGGCTATACCTCACAGGGTTGTTTTTGTTTTTTGTTTTTTTGGTTTTTTTTGGTTGAAGTTTAGGCTCAAATGAGTCCTATATTAGATGAACAGCTGTCTGATCTATGGACAATCTGGATAATGGGTCCCAAAAGAGTATGCACCCTTGATATGGCCTCCAGCCCTTCTGGGATAGGGGAATGATAAACAATTTATAAAGACAGGGAAAAACATTATAAAAAGGGCCTCATAAATAATGAATGTTTATATACATGGCAGCAAGACACTTCTCCCTTTAAATACAGGAAAGGGCAATGGAAAAGTTTTCTAAATTGGTGTGAGGTGTAATCTGGCCAAAGGTCCTTGAATTAAGAGAGAATAAGGCCTGGAGCAAGATAGAGACCCTTCATGGGTCCATTTACCTGAATGGAACTCGAAAAGGAGTTATTTGAGAAGGCCACTATATCTATCAATTAAACCAGCTATTTGGGACTTAATACGGACACAGAAGTTCGATTGAATACCTTTTCCAAAAGACTAGCATTGTGTATTTTGATAAGTAAAATGTGTGTCTTGCTTATTATAAGTAATGTCTATAACTCTGAAAGTAATATGGAGTGTCCAGGCAAGGCATTGTATTGTGACCTTAATATAGATGGAGTTGTATAATTTTGACTTAGATTTTGGGTATCTGTGAGGAAAGAGAGTCCCAGAGTTTGCTTGTTTGTTTCTCCCTGAAAGGGACAATTTTTAGGCAATGGCCCAACAGTTATAATTAATGTAAAGATGAAGCTGCTTGTTGGCCAGGGCATTGACTACTAAGATGACTGCATGAAGTTTGGCCAAGTGTGTTGTTTCTTGGGTCCTGTCCTTTATTAGGGACATCTTGGCTAAGAGACGGAAAGCAGCAACATTCCACTGAGTTCCATCATGTTTTGTGGCTCGCAGTGCCATTTGCATAGTCTAGGTACTCCCTTGCTGTTCATTCAGTTAATCCCAAGTGTCTTCCCAGGCAGCCAAGTGATCTAGGGGAGGGGTGACATCCTCCAGCACCATGCCATCTGGCAAAGGACTGAGGACAGAGAGAGCCACCTCCTCCTACAGGTGGAATATACCAGAGAGCCCAGATTTGGCTCTTTCCTACCTTAAGGAGGCCTTGGTAGTTATACTGAGTTTCTGGTGGGCTGTTCTCATGACTTAAAGCTTAATACGCTGCTGGGTATGAAAGGTCACAGGCTCAGGGTCTGTGAGAGCCTCTATTTTCCAGAGAGTTGGAAATCTTTAAGGCTTTCTGAGAGCTGGTCTTTACTTTCAACAGTTTAAGTCACCCCCAAGCATAACCTGAGGAGTAGGAATAAAGCCTCCCAGATGCAGACAGACCCAAAGAGGGGCTGTGATTCACTACCTGAGCTGTCCCCCTTTTCTCTCCCCTTCCCCCTTCGCAGGTAAAAATCGGCTTCCTCTCTGCCTAAAGCAGGGCTAAAAAGATCACCAATCCCAAGACCTGTCACATGGAAGCTACAGCAGCGCAGGCACACAGATCTAGAGCTTGAAAAACAGATGCTCTTGGTTCGGAAGTCCACAACACATACTTGGTTAATAATGTGGATTGTTGCATACGTGGTTAATACTGTGGATTATTGGATGGGGAGGGAGGTGCTGATGTGGGAGGAGAGGAATTTCCATGATAACAACAACAAGCCAAACATCCCGTTATGTAAAATTATGTCAAAAAAAGATGCATGGAAGAATGGCCACCAAAATGATAACAGTAGTTACCTTAGGGTGGTATGATTCCAGGTGACCATTATATTCTTTTGTAAGTTTTAATGTTGTCTGAATGATTTAGAATCAGCATGTATATTTATATAACTAGAAAGAAGCAATATAGTTATTTGCAGCTTAGAGGAGGACTTCTTTTTAAATAAAAAAAGATTCCAATTTCAGTAGCATTCTCAAAGATCATAAGCATCCTCACTGAGGAGTGGGGGGGAAGTGACACTATAATGGTCAGGGCTTAAGAAAATCAAGTATAGTAAATACATGTTAAACATTTGCCCAGAAAGGTCTGATATGAGGCCTACCACACACAAAAACTCAACGACTATACACTTGTTATTCAAGCTACAAAAACCTCTTTTCCTAGTCTCCTGCTGATAAGAATCAGAAAGAAAGGGAGTAAGATTAGCTTCATGATAATCACTTGTGGGTTATTATACAAGAAAAGTAGACAATAAAATAGAAATTTTGTGACAACATTTCATGTTGAGCCAGATTTCCTGCCAGGGCATTTTCTGCTTTAATGACTGAAACAGGACTCGGTCACATCTTAACAAGATTCACAGAAGGGAGGTTCAAGCACGAGTACAAGCTACCATCTGACACATAAAAATAAAGAAAACATGGGATTTCCCCCAAGTTAAAACGTTCTGTGATACATATGTACAACCTCATGTCGTGCTCCAGGGTGATTTATATTTTTAAGGGTAGCTAATGCTTTCCAGAGCAATGTGGGAAGGTCACCTTAGAAGATTCCGAAATTTAGTATAGTGCTACCTCATTTCAATTTACCTGTTCCTTTTTAAAAGGATTAATAATTCTTTTTTTTTTTTTTAAAGATTTTATTTATTTGAGAGAGAGAGAATGAGAGACAGAGAGCATGAGAGGGAGGAGGGTCAGAGGGAGAAGCAGACTCCCTGCCGAGCAGGGAGCCCGATGCGGGACTCGATCCCGGGACTCCGGGATCATGACCTGAGCCGAAGGCGGTCGCTTAACCAACTGAGCCACCCAGGCGCCCCAAAAAGATTAATAATTCTAATCAACTTTGACTTTGGTTATTATGTAATTATTTGGAATGAAAGACTTAACCAGATAAATAAAACACTCAATTCTGTCATAAAAAAAAAAAAAAAAAAAAAAAAACCTTTTGTGATACACACTTTTTGGACTGAGTCCAAAAATATTTAATTAAAGCTAGACAATGGTTGGCTAAATGAAATCATTGCAAAAACTGAAAGCATGAATAAAAAAGAATTTAAAAATTGGATGCTAACTTTTCAACTATCATTTTTGATATGATTGTCCTCAGTAAAAGCATCATTGAAAGTGAAAATGAACAAGGTGATGGTACAGCCAGTAGGAGAAAGTCAGTGCTGATAACCTTTACTTGCTCATCCTCTGAGACTGCATCTTACAGTTCACACAATGTGCTCAGGGTCTCACACGGGGGTTGCCAGGATCTGTCTCTATTTTTGATTAAATAAACTATATAAAAGTCTGCTTCAGGATTTTATGCAAATACTACCCTCATTTTAAAACATGGGTGAAAAAAATCACCCAAATTCAGGGTTAATTTAGCTGTCATCACATAGTTAGGAAGAAAACAATAACAAAAAACAGTCCCATTTTAAAAGTTTCATCAGTAGAGACACAAAGGTACTCAGGTTTGAGAATCATCCTTCCTCATCACTGCTGCTCCATGCGTCTTCAAATGCTGGGTTTAACTGTGATTTGGTTGTAGTCTAAAAAAGGGAGAAAAAAGGAAAATTTGATTGTTTTACCTCATAATTTTAGGTTCACAACATAGTTATGAAATCTATCAAATGAAGAGCAATTACATTATTTTGAAAGTAACAATAAAATTGTTAATTCAAAACAAAAGTAATATAACAAACACTCCACATACAATGTAAGGCAATGTAACTTCATTTTAAATAGACAAGCCAGAATTTATCCAAATTAACTATGTTTCCTTCAAAGTAATTACTTCACAAACACATATATAAATGCATCTACACACACACACACACTGATCAGCTATTGCTTATGGCATTTCTGCAACTCTTTGGAATTATCTGGAGAAGGCTGCACATTAACATCCACATGGCTAAGACTGGACTCAGGTCTATAATCTGACCTGACAGCCCAAAATATTAATGTTGGCAACTTTTTATTATTTGGATGGACCTGACTATAAATACGCAAATATCCATATATGGGGAATAAGGTGTTCATCAAATGGAGTAACACCATTTTTGGTCCAAAAACTAATGTGAGTTATTAAGTAGTGAGGTTTATTTATTTTTTCATCGCTGGTAAGGCAGTTCCCAAGTACATGAAAAAATATGTTAAAAATGGTAATATGTTTGTCATTAGCTCAAAGGTTTTCCAGGGAGATTTCTTTGAAAGTTAATATGCACCTGGATGGTGTTTATTTAAAACAACAAAACATCACAGTATTCTTACAACTTTAGAGCCCTACATAATAAAAGTAATCAGCAACTAGAGTTATTTTAATTATTTGTGGCATTTCAAATCAATTCACTTCCTGAGGAAACTTTTTGGATGGCTACTTTCTTACTCTCTGGCAAATGACTAAAGGGCTTTAAGACGGTCTCATTGTTTTGAGTATCTGGTCATTCTGAGCCAGGTTTGCTTCTTATTCTGCAGCTTTTACATCTGCTACAAGTGTGTTCAGACCCCAAATCCACCAATGTATTAGCACCAAGACCACTCACATATTACCTTAGATATTGCCTTATACAACATACAGCAATGTTTTAGGTTAAGAGGAACCCTTGTGTCTAAGCATGTTTACTGCCTTTTTTTTTGATATGATGACTTAGAATCTTAAAATTTAAACAATGATAGCAGTAGAGAAAATGTGAATTTCCAGTAAGTTCCCCAATATCACCCAGGATAGTTGGAAAAGGACACATTAATTTAAGTATTCCTTATGGCTATTAAAGCTATAGATCAGAATCTATTACTAAACCTAATGCCCGCTATTGGCACCATTATTAAACTATAATAGTCATGCTTGGTATCATGACTCAGTTGTACAAACAAAAAATATATCTCAAATACTCAGATAAAAAACTGTTACCAAACCTCAGCTAATTATTCACTTATTTCTAGCAGCAGTCCACTGATTTGTAATCAATGACTGTACCACACCTAAGTTTGTTTATTTTTTCATCCAAATGTTCACTGTACAGAATTGCTGTTGAATCACTATATGGTACATCTGAAACTAACATAACACTGTATGTTAACTATACTGGAATTAAAAAAAAAAAAAGCTGTAATGTCCTTGGGGGTTAGGTGATTCCTCTCCCTTACTCTATCTTACTCTGCCTTAGATATCTCCCAAAAATGTCTCTGAGTGTGAATAAGCCACACAAAGGTCATGCCTCCTAACTCCACTATGGAAGCCCAATACGTAACCTATTAAACATTTAAATTTCATTTTAAGACTCAAGAGAGAAGCAAAATTATAATTTATTGTAAATTATTGTTGCTACAGTGAGCAAAGAAACCAAAATAATTAAGTGAAAATTGAAATGAAATATTGATAAATTTTGATAAATACTATACTAATACTAATACGCAAATACTATAAACTTGACTGTTTATAGTAATAAAGGATAACAATATAAATGCATTATAGTACGATTATTACAGTTATATTTTGTTGCTAAAAAATCACAAATAAAACACACTTGTAATTAAAAGCTACTGTGAGAAGGTTGTATATAGATGTGGTACCCATATTACCGTTTGAGACCCACAGATGAAGTGTAACTACCATCTATCACTTAAGTTTTCTCTATAATATCTCCTCCTAGTAGACATCCTTTCTATGCTTGAACCTCACCAGGTTGCCTGTTCTATTGAGAGACAGTTGTAAATATTATGGAGATAGAGAAGCATGATTTAGAAGGGATCTAGTCCAGGTCCAAATAATGGGAAGGAAGAACAAAACCAACCCCTACATCTACACATATACATCTTGATGTATTCTAAATTCCTTACTGGTAATTACTGGAAAGTCTCCACAGGAGCAAAATAGGGCTGTTTTTGTCAGCAAATGATTACAGCTGACCCTGAACAACAGGGCTTTGAACTATGTGGATCCACTTATACGCAGATTTTTTTTTTATAAATACAGTACAGTATTGTAAATGTATTTTCTCTTCTTTATGCTTTTCTTAATAACATTTTCTTTTCTCTAGCTTACTTTATTGTAAAAATACAGTATATAATACATATACAGAATATACGTTAATTGACTGTTATGTTATGGGTAAGGCTTCCTGTCAATAGTAGGCTATTAGTGGTTAAGTTATGGAGGAGTCAAAGTTACATAAGGATTTTTGATTGCATGGGGGTGGGTGCCAGCATCCCTGTTGTTTAAGGGTCAATTGCACATACCTACCAAGTGGTAAATAAAACAGCTATGTATTGTGTAACTATCAAAATAAAGTAAGACTCTTGGTGAGAGGTCAGATTTAAACTATAATGTAGCTGCCGTATAGATCTCAGAAAGGAAAAAGTGATTAGGAGTTATATAGGCTTGCCTTAACCATGACCAAGTTTTAGGAAAAGAGGGCAAAAGGAAGGCAGAGTCCTCAAAATATAATAAAACAGCCTGCCAATTAAATACATAGATTTATGCTTAAAGACCATAAAACCTGTCCCTATCACCCAATGCCTTTCAATTTCTTACAGTAGGACTAAATTTCCCCTCTGTCTTGGATATCAGAAGAAATACTGCTAAGGGATTATATCTTAGTTGATGGGGAAGTAAATCTCATCTCAAAGGTGGATTTGAAAAGAAACTGAAGAACAATTTTGCTTGATGATTCTGATATTAGGAGACCATAAACTTGTCCTCAGTCCACAGTGGATGTCAGAACAGGGATTCAAACCCAGTTACCAGTATGGTTATTATTTAGTTTACCTGAAACTGAAGATTAAGTGAGTGTGTGTGCATGTATGTGCGTGTTTTGTTTTGAAGCGTGTTCCTGCACACTTCTGGGAAATTGCAGCATCACTTATTTGATAGCTGAGATAAAAACACTGTTTTGTTTTTGTTTTTAAAGATTTTATTTATCTGAGAGAGAGGGAGAGCGAGAGAGCGCATGCGCAGGGCAGAGGGAGAGGGAGAAGCAGACTCCCTACTGAGCAGGGAGCCTGAAGCAGGGCTCGATCCCAGGAACCCAGGATCATGACCTGAGCTGAAGGCTTAACTGACATCCAGGTGCCCCTAAAAACACTTTTAAATATGAGTTAAATAGTAAATATACATGTAAGGAGTAGGGTTTGGTGCAGACAGACTTCTCTTGGATCTATACCATGATCACATTCATGTTCTACCTACATTCAAAGGAATATTTCAAACTAAAGTTTTGTGAAAATAATTTTAGCCCATACCATTTTATGAGAATGATGGCTATCTTAAAGCGTATAAACAGTATATTTTAAAAGATAAGGCTTTATAGCTCTAAAACTTAAATATAAAGCTAACTTGTTTTTTACGCATCTCTATTTGCTTTTCTACTTGTTCAGTTTAGTTTCCCACATGCAAAAATTCTTCTAGATGAGGAAACTATCACTATAACTACATTGTATAAATAAAACATCAGAGTCACAGACTATCTTTATAAATTAAGCAATTTAGTTTTCTTCTAATATCCTTTCTCCATATGTAAGTCATAGATTTAATTTATTTTTATTGTTTTCATTTTGTAAGTGATTGTTATACTTGTTAACATAGCCTCGAGTGGTCTTTTCTAGTTTTTGTTTTTTGGGGTTTTTTCATAGTGTTTTAACTTAAATTTATTGCAGACAGTAATTCCTAAAAGGCAGGAAGCAGTAATTAAATAATGCAAAATAAGTGCCTGAGCCAAAGTATTTGACCATACTAAGCTTTCTACAGAAGGGGCGCCTGGGTGGCTCAGTCGTTAAGCGTCTGCCTTCGGCTCAGGTCATGATCCCAGGGTCCTGGGATCGAGCCCCGCATCGGGCTCCCTGCTTTGCGAGAAGCCTGCTTCTTCCTCTCCCACTCCCCCTGCTTGTGTTCCCTCTCTGTGTTTTTCTCTGTCAAATAAATAAATAAAATCTTAAAAAAAAAAAAGAATATTCAGTCATTTAAAGCAGCTGTACACCAAAACTAATCAAAGCCATAATAAACTAGATTTGTGATGAAATCTGAAAATATTCATACAGCAGTTGACCAGCTGCTTGAAGATTTACCATTATGTGTTTTCTCTATTTTATTTGGATTAGGGCCAAAAGAAAATAAGTCACAGGCTACACACTGCAGTAAGCCACAGCAGTTGCAAATCTAGGCATGAAATAGATTTTGCCAATAGCTGCTAAATGGTATCAACCACCCCCATAAAAACTCATTTCCATGTGGTTTTGGACAGTCATTTTCTCACAAAGGAACTAAATATGTGAAAATATTTTTAGAATTTTAAACTTGCTCTACCAATACTTTTCATCTCCACTGAAGATGCTTTGTTTTTATACCAAGACTTGAGTAAGATTAACTCAAGGTGTTTCTAACTGCATTATTTATATTTCCAATTTAAAAAAAAATTATATACATAAATATTGGTTTTTAGACATTTGACTTTTTATATCCTAGAAATTAAGATAAATAGGGATGATTAACAGTGGTCAGTAAAATAATCTTTGGTGGGGGTCGCCTGGGTGGCTCAGTCATTAAGTGTCTGCCTTCAGCTCAGGTCATGATCCCAGGGTCCTGGGATCCAGCCCTCCATTGGGCTCCCTGCTCAGTGGGAACCCTGCTTCTCCCTCTCCCACTCCTCCTGCTTGTTCCCTCTCTCACTGTCTCTCTCTCTGTCAAATAAATAAATACAATCTTAAAAAAAAAAAAAATCTTTGGTGAGAAAGATAGCACCTTTAGACAGTGTAACATAGAAGTAAAAATATACAGAGGCCACTACTTAAGACCAGGGGGCATGTCTTATTCATCTTTGTTTACCACATTTTTAAGGGTCTTTATTCCCATGGCCATTGGTTATATTTGTATCAATTTATGTCTAAGATGGATACTAACGGGTGCTTGGGTGGCTCAGTTGGTTAAGTGGCTGCCTTCGGCTCAAGTCATAATCCCAGGGTCCTGGGATTGAGTCCCACATCGGGCTCCTTTCTTAGTGGGGAGTCTGCTTCTCCCTCTCCTTCATGCTCTCTCTCTCTCAAATAAATAAATAAAATCTTAAAAAAAAAAAAAAGTAAGACAGACACTAACAGACTGCTGATAGAGGAGTATAAATTGGTAAAATTCAAGTGTGTGAATAAAAAACCTTAAAAATGTCATACATGATAACTCAAGAGATAAAATCTACTTCTAGGAATCTATCCAAATAAGCAATCAGAAATATAAACAATTTATGGGGCGCCTGGGTGGCTCAGTCATTAATCATCTGCCTTTGGCTCAGGTCATGATCCCAGGGTCCTGGGATCGAGCCCTGCATTGGGCTCCCTGCTCCACAGGAAGCCTGCTTCTCCCTCTCCCACTCCCCCTGCTTGTGTTCCCTCTCTCACTGTGTCTCTCTCTGTTAAATAAATAAATAAAATAAAATAAAAAAAGAAATATAAACAATTTATAAACAGTTACCTTGATTTGTTTATAGTGATCAAAAGAAATCTCTCCGAATAGGTAAATATTTAAGTAAATTGTGATATATAAATGACAGCGTGCTATGTTATTAAAAACAAATTTACAAATAGTTATTAATGACAGGGAAGAAGGTTTATTATTAAGTTAGTAAAGTAGGATGCCAAGTTGTGTGTCCAAGCATATTAACTGTGTTTAAACAACCATATATGCATAGGAAAAAGCAAGAATGAAGTAAATGAAAGTGTTAATAGTAATTCAACTTTAGAAATTTAAGTTGTTCTTTCATATTTTTCTGGATTTTCCAAAAGTGTTATAACAGGCAAACTATTTTCACAATCTGAAAATAGCCAGACATGCTTTTAAAAGTCTCTCTCATGGGGCGCCTGGGTGGCTCAGATGGTTAACCGTCTGCCTTCAACGCAAGTCATGATCTCCAGGTCCTGGGATAGGGCCCTGCATCAGGCTCCCTGCTCAGTGGGGAGTTTGCTTCTCTCTCTTCCTCCCCCGCCCCCCGCTCGTGCTCTCTCTATCAAATGAATAAATAAAATCTTAAAGTCTCTCTCATGTGAAATAAATTAATAAAACTTCTTTTTTTTTTTTTTAAGATTTTATTTATTTGACAGAGAAGAGAAACGCGAGAGAGGGAACACAAGCAGGGGGAGGGGGAGAGGAAGCCCAATGTGGGGCTCGATCCCAGGACCCTGGGATCATGACCTGAGCCTAAGGCAGATGCTTAACGACTGAGCCACCCAGGTGCCTCTAAAACTATTTTCTTTGAGATTTAAAAGTCACTGTATAATTTGTGTAAATAATATTTACCTCATCATCATCATCAGGAACTGGTTCAGATAAGGATGGTACCCAAGCAAGTATATTGCAGTCTCTGCTACCACTATAAAGTTCCTATAACACAGAAAATAAAGATATGATCGTGGGTCAGTTTAAAGCTGGTGCCAATCTGAAATGAATACATCATTTAAAGACTAATTTTTAGGTTAGATCAATTAGATTAATTCTATTTCTTCTCTCCAAGGAAACCGAGCTGAGGTCTTTTGTTTCCTTAAGATGCAGTAAAGCTTTGTTTTATATTTTAAAATATCATTAGGATATTAGGATTAAAATATCTGATATTGTCAGAGCTTGCTAACCTGAAAATTTTACAAAAAGATTGAACAACCTAGTGGTTTTTTATCAATCATAGTATCCATTTATCGCAAGTGTCAGAGTAGAAAAAGAAAAAAGATGGAATCAAGAGTCTGTCCTTCTCTGTCAATAACTGAGTTTTAAGAAAGACATCAATAATAAAACCTTATGAGTTCTAGCTAAAATAGGCCAGAACTTCACAAAAAATATTATTTAGCTCACAGCTGCCTAACTGGTTGTTATTCAACAGAAAAGCTTTTAGATCCATATGCTATGCTTAATCAGAAGTTTATTTAATAAGGGGAAGCTTGGGCTGATGCGCAGTCTATGTCAACATCTTTATGAATATGCTGTTTACACATAGCTGAACAATGTTCATTTCCATCCCCAACAAAACTCAAGGAATATGTTATATTGTCTAGTACTAAAAACATTCCTATGAAGCAGTGAAATAGATACTCTCATATAAAGAAGGTATAAATTGGTATAATCTATGCAGAATAGAATCTCAATACATGTCAAAAGTTTTTGTATGTGTTTCTGAGAAGTCATGCCAAAGACATGTATGAAATTCAAGGATATCAGCAGTATTATATTTAAAATAACAAAATATGGAAATAATTGTCCAAAAGTAGGGTAATGATTTATATATAAATTTATGTTGCATTCATAGTATGGGATGTCATATAATCATTAAATTTGTTTTTTAAGAGTGTTTAATGACATGGGGAAATACTCAATGTCAAGAGAAAAGAGAAGGATATGAACCACAGAGTCATCCTGTGAAGGAAAAAAGCAAGATGTAAAACACAAGGCCAAATTAAAAAAAAAAAAGAAAAAGCTATGTAAAGGAAAAAGGTCTAAAAAGAAAAAACAGCAAAATGATAAGCAGCTGTAAAACTATGAATGACTAAGTGGTTTTTTTCCACACAAATTTATTTCTGTATTTCTACACAAACATTTTATTTTTCAACATGTTCAACATGGGCTTGAACTCACAACCCTGAGATGAAGACCTGAGCTGAGATGAAGAGTCAGATGCTTAACCAAATGAGCCACCCAGGCACCCCCAAACATTTCTAATAGTGAAGTTTTTTCCTGCTCTGCTATGCAATTATTTATTTTCAATACTGTTCATCTCAAAAAGTTTGAAGTATGGTACAATTAATATTTTTCTAAAAAAAAATAAAGGTTCTAGATAAAGGGAAATTAAGATTATAAAGTTATTCATAGGAAATATAGATGTAAAAATATATTTTTTTAATATTTATTTATTTGACAGAGATATAGCGAGAGAGGGAACACAAGCAGAGGGAGTGGGAGAGGGAGAAGCAGGCTTCCCGCTGAGCAGAGAGCCCGATGTGGGGCTTGATCCCAGGACCCTGGGATCATGACCTGAGCCGAAGGAAGACGTTTAATGACTGAGCCACCCAGGCGCCCCTAGATGTAAAAATATTAAAGTAAATTTGATTTAGTTATACATTATCAGACTTCCTGAAGGGAACAAAATTCTACAGACTGTATTGTTTAACCTTGAATATATAGTTACACTAACTGTGGATGATGTAAAGATATTTTCAAATGTTCAGTGCCCTTGAACAATTTAATTTCCTGAGACTATAAACACACACACACACACACACACACACCCCTCCAAGATAACTTGGTCAGATAAGCTTACAAGGCAATTTGTGGTTAAGTACTGCCACACTGATGGAGACAAAGGAAATTCTGTAGATGTTCAAGAAAGCTTACAAGAGACAGCACTTAAATTAGAATGACTAATAAGAACTTCAGGTAAATGGAGGGATTTGAATTGAGTGTTAAAGTTTTTGGGATAAGTTTAGGTGTTCACTTGGGAAATTAGACTAAGTTGACAACATGAGTCCTATCACTCATGAATGTTTAGTGTATTATTTCCTTTGAACAAGGACACTCTCATACAATTACAGTGCATCTAACAAAATCAAAAAATTCACAATGATATATTACTGCCAGCTAATTCTTAGACTCCATTCAAGTTTCACCAATTGTCTGAATAAATGTCCTTTATAGCAAAAGGGTCCAGATTTAAATCATATGCTACACTTAGTTGTCATGTCTCCTAACTTTCCTTCAATTTGAAACTGTTCTTTAGTCTGCACTTGGCCCTCCTGACCTTGACAGTTTTGAAGATAAACACCAGTTATTTTCTAGAATGCCCTTCAAATTTTTTCTTTCCTCGTGATTAAATTGAGGTGATGCATCTTTGCCAGGGCTATCACTGAAGGAATACTATGTAATTGGGATGTTAACTTTGATCATTTGATTAAGGTGATGTATGCCAGGCTTCTTCAAGATAAAATTACACATTTTACCTTTGTAATTAATATTTTGTAGGGAGGTACTTTGGGACTATGTAAATATCCCACTCCTCATTAGACTTCCAATTTATTAGTTTACTTACTTATACCTGAATGGAGTCATGGACCCTTATTTAGTCAATGTGTTATAACCCAGTATTATCATTATTTATTTCGATGTTAGGTATATCTTGTTAGATTTTTATAGTTATAATAGAAGTACTATAAACATCAATTTGTTTTCAGATTGTAAATTCTGTGTAATATATAATTTGAAAAAGGGTTCTACTGCATGCAAAGTACTACCCTATTTCGCTTTTGAGACTTAGAATTATTTTCCTTCTCAAAAATCATAATGGATATAATGGGATAAGAGCCGGAAGCTGTCTGATGTAGTGCAGTGATTCAAATCTGCGTATGTAGCACCTAGAGAAATGGGATTAGTCAGGAGGCAACTGGCCTAGGTTTCTGGCTGTGACCGGCTTGTCTCAGCTATTCCAAGGGCTGGGGGGAACCAGTATCTGGGCACACTTTTAATCTATTCTAGGCACATGTGTTAGGAATTCTGATTTGGTAGAAAGCAATAATTTATAGTCAGGATATCTGGTTTAAAATCTTGGCTGTGTCTCTGAGTGACTCTGCATAAGAAAAGAGGTACAGTATTCCAAGAATTTCTTTGAATAGATAACCATACACTGTGAAGAACTACTTGCAGGTTTGAGGCAAGGCAAAGTGGTGTTTTAGTCTTCTTCTCCCAGAAGTAATACTAAAAATATTTAACAACTAGTACATCAGGATACTGACCAATTAGCAGACGTAATAGCCATAGAGTGGGAGCAGGATCCTGACGGTCCCTCTTAGGTGCTAGGTTAAGGTGTAAACTAGGAGGCCTCAGGAAAGGGGGTAAAGCTAGAGGTCTCTTAGGGGGCTTGGTGCAATAGCTATTTAACAAACAATAAAATATGTATTTGAATATTTTAATAATGGCTATTGCCATACAGATGTGTGGTGGCTGAAAAATAAGCACTGTATATCTTACTGTAGTATCAGACACAAATTAAGTAATTAGCATTAATGAATAAATGATTAACAACTTTACCAGGTGATGAAGTCCTTCCTAGCTCTAATAATCCATAGTTTTCATCCTATCAGTATTTAATGCTCATGAGCCTCATTTTCTTTACCCACAAAATACAGAAAATACCTACAGTCTTGCTATATTAGAGACTCATTTAAAGGAACACATGAGGTAATTTGTGCCAATATTCTCTGAAAAATATAGTCTGCTCTGTTGGTAAGATGAAAGAGAAAGGTCAGGATGTTAAAAAACAAAAGCCATATTTAAGAAATCGTGTAAGCTGCATCAACTCAAAAGTAAATGATTAGCCACTGACAAGAAATAAAGAAGAAATAAAATCTGAGACAGACTCACACATAGATAAATGAAGATACAAAAACTGTATTTTGAGATTAGACACAGTATTCCATCTTTTCCCAAAAGATTGATTGCAAGACATTATTTTAATTTACTAGAGATTTCATCTGGTAAATAAGTGGAGCCCAAATGCAGAAGAAAGAATTTATCTCAGTCAAGTTGCACAGTATTATATTGATTCCTACAAATATCCTATACTATCTAAAACTGTATCCTGTATAATCCTCTATTAAAGAAACCCTAGCTTAAATGTGGATTACAAGTGTAATTCCTCAGAATGAAATCACAATTTATTCTTTTGTATACAACTAGTCTGGCAAGCTAGCTACCTGAACATTTTAAATTCCCTTAAGGATCATTCTTACCTGGAAATTAGACCGGAATACACAGCAGTCAACACTTTTATAATGTCCCTTAAGCATAGTTATCTGTTCTCCTGAGTAAATTGTATAAAGAGCAATGGTGCTACCATATGGTACAAAAACAAACTCTGTACTGCAGCCATAGGAGACTGTGAATTTCAATCCTTTTCTGCTGTCATTACAAACTTTTCCATAGTTGACCTGCAGGATGTAAAATAGTAACATTACTCATTTCTTAAATCTGAATTAAAAAGACAACAAAGATTAGAAGAAATATTTACTTAAAATATTATAACATACTATGGAAAGGGCTGTAATAAACCTAAAGAAAATGATCAAGGTCCTAACAGAAAGAAACAAGGGCCAACGACATAAATATATATTTCACATAAGAGGAAAATACAAATAGTAAAAAAAAGTCCACAAAAGCAAATGTTTACATTTAACCAGGCTAGAAATAGACCATTTAGCAAAAAATTTCAAGAAACCTTGAGACAGTGAATACCGTTACAAGTGAGGTAACGTGTTGGTGGCACTGTAACTTGTCATTGCTTCTAAAAGGCCAAATGATTTATTATGCAACAAAATACAAAGATGTTCTTTTTTGGGGGGGGAGGGAATAATTCTCTTTTTATTTTAAAACATTTTTAATTGTGGGGCGCCTGGGTGGCTCAGTCGTTAAGTGCCTGTCTTCAGCTCAGGTCACGATCCCAGGGTCCTGGGATCGAGCCCCGCATCGGGCTCCCTGCTCAGTGGGGAGTCTGCTTCTCCCTCTCCCACCCCTGCTGCTTGTGTTCCCTCCCTCGCTGTGTCTTTCTCTGTCAAATAAATAAATAAAATCTTAAAATAAAACATTTTTAATTGTGGCAAAATAGACACAGCATAAAATTTGCCATCTTAACTGTATTTAAGTGTACAGTTAGTGACATTACATTCACATTGTTGTGCAACCTTCATCATCCTCAATCTCCAGAACTCTTTTCATCCTGCAGAACTGAAACTTTGTACCCATTACACAAGAAAGTTATTCTTACTCCTTGACCTGGTAATTACTCCTGGAAATTTAGCTTACGGAAATAATTAAACAGCAAAAAGCTATATGCCCAGAGGAATTCAATGCAGCATTATCTAGAATGGCAAAATAACTAAAAATATATGTAAATCTCTAATAATTTTATAATAACTCTACATCTTATATAGTAATTAAAAATCATAATTATGAAAATTATGCAGGAAATAAGGATAAAAACTAAGTATAAAAAAGCACAGAACACAAGTAGTGTGTATACAACTGCAACTTTCTATAATTACATATTTAGGACAAAAATAAAAATTCTGCACCTGTACGCCAAAGGTGCGAGCCCAACATCAGCATCTCCTCTGCAGTTTGAAAGGAAAATTCCAGGTTTTATCCCAATCCTACTGAACAAGAATCTTCATTTTAATAAGATAACTAGGTGATCTAAAGGCTCATCAAAGTCTGAGAAGCTTTGGGCAAAAGAAATTGATAGTGCTGAAATTATCCCGCTGATAATTTAGATTAAGCAGTTTAGGGCAGGTGTAAAACCAGTAGCTAAACATTTGAGAATTATCAGCAGGAAGATCACCAAAGACTCCAAATGCTATGCATGAATGACTACTTAGATCAAGTCAATTTAAAAAGGTATTATCCATTCCAAACACACTATTCAAGAAGTAGACTTACTACTAGCAAAAACCCTTAAGGCATGAGTATCACCTTCAAGAAGGAGAGAAAAATGTAATAGAATCACACTAACAATTTATATATATAGTCAATACCCTTTATACTTATCACATTCACCTTTGATGCACATGCCAACCGACCTTTCCAAAGTGACCCCATCACATCACCACTCAAAGGCCTTTAGTGGCTTTCCATTTCACCCAGAGAAAAAGCCTAAGCCCTTACAAAGGCCTACAAGCCTATATCCTCTGGTGTCTGGTTCCTTCTGTTCCTCATCTCCTAGTACTCTCCCCCTTGCTTCCTCTATTTCAACACAAGAGCCTCTTAGATGTTTCCTGGGTATTCCAAGTATGCTCCTGACTCAGGGTCTTTCTACTTTCTTCCTTCCTCTGCCTGGAACGCTTGCCTTCCCAGATATCTGATGGCTCACTTCATTTCCTTCAGGCCAAATATCGTCTTCTGAGTGAAACATACCCTGACTGCCCTATGTAAAACTGCAACTCCAACTTCCCAATATTTTCTATGCTACTTTCCTTGCTTTGCTTTTCTTCAGAGCACTTGCTACATCTAAAATATATTTTATCCATCCATCTATTTATTGACTGATGGATGGATGTCTTTCTTCCTCCCCCTAGAATATAAGTTCCATGAGGATAGGACTTTTCTATGTTTTGTCTGCTGCTGTATAATAGTGTCTGGAAAACAGGATATGCTCAATAAATACTTATTAAATAAATGAATAAAATGAGAAAAGAAAGGTGTGACCTGGTTAGAAACATGATACAAATATAATGAATGGAAGATTCTAAAGTAAAATTTGCAATGCCTGAGTTTCTAGTCTGAGATATGATGGAGAAGCACTTCATAAAGTACATGAGAGATTAGCAAACTCTAACCTAGTATGAACAATTTTGACCTTATAGTAAAATTAGAATTTAATAAAAGAAATGATCTTTAGAGTATCTAAAAGAGAATTACTTAGAAAGGAGGTTAAAGAAAGGAAGATGAAATGGGGCACCTGGCTGTCTCAGTCAGAAGGGCATGTGACTCTTGATCTAGGGGTTGTTGAGTTTGAGCCCCGTGCTGGGGGAAGAGAGTACTTAAATTAATAAATAATTAATATTAATAATCAATACCTACCTTAAAGCATTAAATAAATGCTATAAGGTGTTTGGTATAATCACCATTATGTCTCATTTCCTCATGTGTAAAATGGGTATTATAACAGTAACTACCTTCACAGTATTGATTTGATGATTAAATAAGATCCTATATGCTTCAGTACATGTTACATGTTAATTTTTATTAACACTGTATCTGACACATAAGCACTTAATAAGTATTAGCTATTACTATTACCACCAAAATACAAACTTATTAGCTTATTCTGAAAGTTATTAAACCACAGGTACACCTGGTAAGGAGCATAACATAAATTTTTAAAAAGTGTTAGAAATTAAATACCACATAAGAATCTAGCACATCTAAAACACATTTACTCCAGTATTAAAGTACCATATGTTCTGGTACTATAACATTCATCTTAGATTTTGTTTACAAGTCATATATAGTATAAAATTTGACTATAACTTTAATTTATATCAGTTGTTCTCAATCTTATATTCTTCTCCAATACACCTGAGAAATATGGCACACTCACATTATGCGCAGTAGAGCAATAATTCTCCACAAGTGAGGAGAATGTGGTGGGGGCATGGTAGGGTAGGCTGTCCTGTGTTGAGAGTTATTAGTTCACTAATAGAAAAATATAAAAAGAAAACTGGAATACAGAGACAAGAAAAGAGTTAAATCTACAGAAGGACACCAAGTGTATTTCACAGATCCATTTTTTAAATATATATTCAAAAGGTTAGAGGGGCACCTGGCTGGCTCAATCAGTAGAGCATGCAATTCTTGATCGCAGGGTTGTGAGTTCAAGCCTTACACTGGGTGTAGATTACTTAAAGAAAAAAAAAAAAGTTGGAGATATTTAAAATCTCTTACTAGTGTGTTTTCTCCATTGGAACTATTCCAGAGCCTCATTCGATTATCCGTACCAACAGTAAGGAGATGAAGCCCATCACTTGTAAAACATAAGCCATTAACTTTCCCATTATGAGCAGTGTTTGCTGCAATGAAAAATACAATTCAGTTAATCTATTCTTGTATTCAGCACACACTTAATGCTTGATGATACAGTTATTTAAACATATTAAAGGACAACTATCTGAATTACTTAAAATATACAAGTTGATTATATTTGGTTATTTGAATATCATAAGCTATATAAATTAGAACCATAAAAATGGAGAAAAACAGGAAAACTAAAGAGAAAGAAATCTTGCCAAATATAATTTTTCTTCAGAGAGTAAGCTGTGCTGTCCAACTCAATTAAATGCATGCCTAACACTAAATTTTTAAATTAAACACCTTCTAAATTTCTCATATACTATTTCCATTTTTTATCTAAAAATCATTCCATGGACTATTCTATGGACCATTAAAAATCAGTCATACTAGTATTTACTATTAAAAAAAAAAACTTCAGTAGGGAAAGAATAAGTGTTCTAGTTTCATTCAAAACTGGGGCGCCTGGGTGGCTCAGTCGTTAAGTGTCTGCCTTCGGCTCAGGTCATGATCCCAGGGTCCTGGGATTGAGCCCCGCATCGGGCTCCCTGCTCCGCAGGAAGCCTGCTTCTCCCTCTCCCACTCCCCCTGCTTGTGTTCCCTCTCTCGGTATGTCTCTCTCTGTCATATAAATAAAAAATCTAAAAAAAAAAAAAAAAATTTGTATTACTTTCAAAATGACCAAATTTGAGAAAGCATAATTCTCAAGAGCCTGATTAATTAAAAAAGATTATTAAAACAATCACAAAAATGTATATAGTTCATCCTAAGATTTTTCTGGTCCACAATTAATTCTAAATCAGAATCTTATCCTATACAGAAATTAAATTCTAGGGGCACCTGGATGGCTCAGTCAGTTAAGTGTCTGACTCTTGATTTCATTCAGGTCATTATCTCAGGGTCCTGGGATGGAGCCCCACGTCGGGCTCTGCCCTCAGCTAGGAGTCTGCTTAGAATTCTCTCTCTCCTTCTCCCTCTGCCCAACACCTGCTTGTAAACGCATGCATGCGCACTCTCTCTCTCAAATAAGTAAATAAAATCTTAAAAAAAAAAGGAATTGAATTCTATTGGAAAAAAGCAATTGAGGTACTTCATCACCTGGATAGCAGCTGACACATTTAACACAATTTGCAAATTCTATTTTCATACAATGGCCACAAAATGTTACTATTCCTTCGATTTATTGTAGCTTCCTAACGTGGCAATGAATTTGTATTAGTTGACTTCACTGGAGGAAAAAAGTAACAAATTAATTCAGAAAAGTTCCTGCATTTGAAAATTTAGGGGTAGATAAAATGTCATACTTCTTTGTATCTTGAAGAAAGACAACCATAATTTAGTTATGTATTTTTAGAAATCAATTTATTGTGAATGCCATTTTTTAAATCATAAAATTTGCAACTTGTCAATATACATTAATTACTTGGTTTCAATTAAAAATTTTTAATATAAAAAATACTATCATTGGCATATTTCTATATTAATGTATTCTTCATTACCTGATTCAACAGCTTGTGACTTTTTTCCATTATGCTGATCAAGAGTAATTAAACATCCTGATGCTCTTCTCACATCCCATAATTTTACTCTACTGTCAGCACTAAGAAGAAATAAATGTTACATTGACATATATAGCTAGGACAGTGACTGTACTCTTCACCTACCTTTACAGTATTACGGCACACAGAAGTCTCAGTATATTAGTGCAAATATATTTGTACTTTTGGGTTGTTGAACTTTTGCCTTTTCATCAAATATTCAAAATCAGTAGTAGCAAAAAGCAGTGAAAAAAATAGCCAAAAAAAGGGTAACTTTTTTAGATCACAAGAACAGAATTCTGCTGATTTTTATTTTGTTTTTAATGGTTCCTCTGCCAAAACTAGATAGTTTTGGAGCTTGTCCCTTAGCAAGTTTGTTACTACATCCTTTCTATTGTTTGTTATTCAAATGTTTTCTAGACAACCAAGCAGCTAACTAATTTTACTTTAAGAATTCATTTGGCATGAATTTGGTGTTTTCTTTTTATATGAAAAAATTAAGGTGAGTAATAAGGACAATACATTTATATTTGGTTTCCTATACTCAAATCAATCTTTACCAGATATACAAGAACTCACTTTAATGTCTCTTAGAAATCTGGCACTTACTTTTATTTTACCTCAAGTAAGTGAAAAGAATAAAGGCAAAAAAAACCATGACCACATTATCAATTTCAATTTCAATTACTCCTAAAGAAAATATAAATCAGTTTAACTAATGCTATCATGTTCTCAAAAAAGACCTCAACAATATTCTAACAAATTGGGTTTATCCAGGCCCCTTTAATTAGAAAGAGCAATACAATGCACTTTATAAGCCTATTTCTAACTTATAAATCTATTTTTTTCATAGATACAGGGCTTATCTCTTCCTATAGTCTTGATTCTTTTCACAGTTCGCCATCAAACCTAGCCAATTAGAATAGTAAGCAAAGGGCGCCTGGGTGGCTCAGTTGGTTAAGCGACTGCCTTCGGCTCAGGTCATGGTCCCGGGGTCCTGGGATCGAGTCCCGCATCGGGCTCCCTGCTCTGTGGGGAGCCTGCTTCTCCCTCTCCCACTCCCCCTGCTTGTGTTCCCTCTCTCGCTGTGTCTCTCTCTGTCAAATAAATAAATAAAATCTTTAAAAAAAAAAAAGAATAGTAAGCAAAAAGCTAGCATTTCCCATTTTCAAAATGATTTTCTTTCTTTCCAGCTGGGGAAAAAGGTCTGCAATGGGATGAGTCTGAGGATTCAAGTACTTTCTGAAACAGATAAGATTTGGACTTACCTGATTACTAGCATTGATTACTAGGTCCATTCTCATACTGATTCAAATTCCTGCGGTATTCTGAGAACTGAAAGCCTCTTAGCTTCCCCATGGTTTGAGGAAAACCAAGTTAGGCATGAACAATATAAATTCGCCCTATCATGGACCCACAACCAGCACCTAGCTTTTCACCTTCACACCTCTTTAGGCAGCCTTCTAACAGCTACATTCTAGACTTGTTCTACTTCAGAAAGCATAGATCTCAGTATCACATTCTGTAAACTATTAACAGAAGCTTCTCTGGGGACTAAACTGCTTGGCTCAAGGTAGGCGGTCATCATTAAATATTATTAAATTGAATCAAGGAATAAATGTTGAATCAGATTCAAAATAATCTGTATTAAAGAAAATGAAATGCTACTGTTTTAAAAGTAAGTCTTATACTTGGGTAGAAAAAAATGACAACACAGTTTTTTTATGGGTAGTACTAGCAAATTTGCATTGCTAGAGATTCTCTTGTTTTCTCTGTTTTAAAAGGTGAGCACCTTCAAGATATGTAGTGATAGGACTAAAAAACAGTAACTCAATTATTTAAAGGGCCTAATTAATAACTAAATATGCATCTTATAAAAAAGTATTTTCAAAATTTTTATCATTAATTATCAACTTCAAAACCAAATAATTTGCATGTTACCTTGCAGTTGCCAAGACATATTCACAACGTGGTGACCAGGAAACTGCCATTATTTCTTGTCTGTGACCTGCAAATATAACTGTATGAAAAGTCTTGTAAAATAGTTGAAAAATCAGGGGCGCCTGGGTGGCTCAGTCGTTGAGCGTCTGCCTTCGGCTCAGGTCATGGGATCGAGCCCCGCATCGGGCTCCCTGCTCCGTGGGGAAGCCTGCTTCTCCCTCTCCCACTCCCCCTGCTTGTGTTCCCTCTCTCGCTGTGTCTCTGTCAAATAAATAAATAAAATTAAAAAAAAAAAATAGTTGAAAAATCAGAAGATACAGTGTAATATGTCTGATTTTGAAGAAAGTGAAGACTAAATATTAAAAATAAATTGATATGATCATCACTTTTTCACATATATAATAATCTACGTTTAAATATTAATATGAAGTCTGTGGGGCATTTCTTACATGTTATCCCATTATAAATGGCCTGGTTTCACATTGGAAAGAGCAAGTGAGTCTTTCTTTTTTAATACAGCTGTTAGATTAAAAAGTGAATCCACTGTTAAGTAATACAGCTTAAGCTCATTTACTTGTATCTACCACAAAAAACCACTGCAACAAACCATACAAATTAAACATTCTAGAATATAAAAATGGTTTCTAACTTTTCAGAAAGTTATAATAGAAATTTTTGTAAAATTCATGATTGTAGAAAGCATTTGGATAAAAAATTTTTTCTAGAAAGCACAGGTGATACGTTCATAGAATAATTGACTTCAGCATTTTAATTCACTTTTGCCTAAATGAACTATTCAAAGTAGATATTTTCATCTACCTAACTTATATTATTAGAGATTCATGACAATGTAAAACAAATGTTATCCATTTCACCAAATTCTCTTGATATATTATGTGTTTCTCAGGGATGAATAGAAATGTAAATTTCTGAATTATAAGCCATCTTTCCATTATTTAGAATCGATGGTCTAATATTGATAGCAAAGTAGCAAAAATATTCAAATTAATATATCTTAACCAAAATATTATTTTAATAGCTTTTTCTAAAATATTTGCATTCAGGAAAAACACCTAAATATTAAGAATGTTTACTTAGCGAGAACAATACTAAACAATGCTCATAAGACAAATGTACCAATGTAAGTTTCATAAATAATTTTTTTTTTTAATGTAGAAATAAGATAAGGTTTTCAGCTAGACTTTCCATATCTTTTGAGTTTACCCTATGGCTATTGTTTATATAAATGTCTCCTCAATAGTTCAGTTTTATAAGAATAATGCACAGAAGGATCTTTATTTCCCTGTTGACTTTTAACAGCTAGCACAAAATACATCAGTCATGTCAGTTACAAAGAATACATTGTTAGTAATGTTTCTTTTTATTGAACGGTTTACTCAAAGTAGTTGTTGTTTCAAATAAAAAAAAAAAAAATACCCTGTAAAATGTGGGAACAGGATCCAGACTTTAAGTCACAAAGTTGTACTTTGGGCCCTCTAGTACCAACTGTAAAAACAAAAACAAAAATGGTTTAAGATAATTTTATTATAAATCATCACCAAAAGGAAACAAGAAACTACCTTATGAATCATGATATCTTCTCTGCATCTACACAGAAATATAAAAAAAGTATGCTAAAAATATACTTCAAATCATTTTTAATGTTTATAATTAGCAAATGTAATTGCAGTTACACAAGGTACTAAGAGAGCTCTATTATTGCATTATGTTCTAATGTTTAATTTTGAAATAATTATAGATTCAGAGAAAGTTGCAAAGATAGGACAGAGAGACCCTGTGTACCCTTTACCCATGTTGTCCCAACCATTGTTATGTTAGGTAACTATATCAGAGTATCAAAACCAGGAAATCTGCATTGCTACAATTCTATGCTATTTTATTATATCAAATAAATTTACTTAATGCCTCAGTCTGTCCATATTAATCATATACTTCCAGAGACTCTCGACACAGACTGAGTGGACCTCGAGGACAAGCTAGTGTCTAGCTCTTTCCTGCAGATGATGCAGCTGACTGGTATCTGCAGGTGAAGATGTTCATGCAGTGCCAAACAAATAATGGAATCCTAGGGACCTGATACCAGATACCAGAAAAACATTTTTTCTTCCTCACACATGAAAATTCTTGTTGTAGGTGCTTTCATAAAAATGGATGTTTAATTTGAATAACACAATCTTAGAGAAAAGAAAATAATTTCCATTTTTTTATTATGTTGAATTGAAAAAGTTGCCAAATTTTGTTCATGTAAAATTTTTGAAACTTCGGTGGTTGAAAATTAACTCCTTAGGGAACAGAAATGTGCTTTCTTAATCTTTGAATCCTAGCCACTAGCACAGTGCCCGATCTGCATAATACCAATAAAATTGAATGTAAATATAGCATATACTTGAGGTTTTTTTTTTAAATTGTGATATTCATCTGGGTTGAAATGTCTATATCAAAACTAACTATGTATTAAAAGGGAGCAAGTTTCAATATGTTGAAAAGCAAAAGAGTACAGGTACAAACCTGCTACCAAACAGTGCTTGGTGGCAACTGGAGACATATGATGACTATAAACGGTTTCTTCAAAATTAAATACATCTGCCGTCTGATAATCAAAAGACATTTAAAAATTGTAAGTTCTAATTATAGTCACAAAAGCAGTAAACATTCTATTTACTTATTTCTACACTGTTACCAATTTCTGAATGACTGTTAGCAATTTATTTGAAGTCAAACACATAGGAATGTGAATTGTGTAAGACTGATGAATCACAGACTTGTACCTCTGAAACAAATAATACATTATATGTTAAAAAAAAGAAAAAGAAGAAGATAGCAGGAAGGGAAAAATGAAGGGGGGCAACTCGGAGGGGGAGACTAACCATGAGAGACTATGGACTCTGAGAAACAAACTGAGGGTTCTAGAGGGGAGGGGGGTGGGGGGGATGGGTTAGCCTGGTGATGGGTATTAAGGAGGGCACGTACTGATGGAGCACTGGGTGTTATATGAAAACAATGAATCGTGGATCACTACATCAAAAACTAATTATATATTGTATGGTGATTAACATAATAAAATAAAATTAAAAAAAAAAGGAATGTGATACCCTCAAAAACCTGTTAATTTTAAATCCTATGCTATTGAGGTGCCTGGGTGGTTCTGTAGGTTAAGTGTCTGCTTTCAGCTCAGGTCCTGATCGCAGGGTCCTGGAATCCAGTCCCGCACTGGGCTTCCTGCTCCATGAGGAGCCTGCTTCTCCCTCTGCCTCTGCCTCTCTCTCTCATGAATAAATAAAATCTTTAAAAAAAATAAATCCTATGTTATTTATTGCACTCTGTCCCTTTTGTGAGAGAAACATTTTTTCTCTAATAAATTCAAGAGATGAAGAAAAGACAACCACCTGGCTCACCATCTTCCTCTCCACTCCAGTCTGGGGAACTTCATCATCTACACAGGTGATCTAGCTAGTGCTCTGCCTCTCGGTCCCATTCAACTTTAGCTACCATATCCCAGCACTCTCATCACCTACACTCACTCTTCCTTCAAAATCATACATTTCACATATGTAATGTATGACCACAATCTTCTACCATTTTCAGCTTAGTTTTTCCCAACTACTTCCAAGACATCCAAATAAAACCCGAAACTCCTATCAGTTCCTCCTGTCTTTGCTTTTTTTCCTTCCTTGGTGTGGATACCGAGGTTCAGTACTTCATCCACCATATCTTCAACTCCTTTGTCATTAATTCTTTCACTCTGTCAAGCCTTCAACCCCACATGACTCCAAATGTCTGCCTTCTCTGCACCTGTATCCACACTGATCTACACCAGAGGTCAGCAAACCTTTTCTGTAAGGTAAGGCTGTAAATATTTTAGGCTTTGAGGACTACTACTCATTTCTGTCATTTCCAACTACTTATTTCTGCCACTGTAGTGTCAAAACAGCCATAGACAAGAAATAACATTTTATTTGCAAAAAGAGGCCAGGGGACCAGACTTGGCCTATGGGCTGCTTAGTAAGCTGACCTCTACTTTAACCCAAGAGAAGAGAATCTTACAGTAAAGCAAACTGGCATCACTATAAAAGATCTTTCATCTCAACTGGGCTTTCAGGACTCACTGCCAGTCCTATTATATCCTATTATATTTCACTACTATTCTCTGCAATATTCACTGCTATTTCAAACTTCCCCACTCTCCATAAACATCACCAGTTGGTCATAACAGGTGATCTGATCTTTGATTACAAAGAGAATACAGGAAGTCATTCAATGAGAATTCCTTGAATATCTTATCAACAAACCTACAAACACATTTGCTTCCATTTATCCTTCTCCTTCTTTGTTCCTGTTATCATGGAAAAATCATCCTTCCTCATATTTAAAGTTAATACCCCTACCTGTGTTCAGATGACCCTCAGCACTGTTAAAAATCTCATGCTACACATTACCTCCTCTATCTCCAGGATATGTATATACTCTCCCTCCCTACTAGCTCATTCCCATCAGCATTAAAAAATGTTCATGTTTCTTTCATCTTAATAGCAACCCTTTCCTCAAGACAAGAAAACAAAAACCTTTCATCCTATATCCCTAATTAATCTTCTTTCTTCCTCTTTGAATCCAAATTTTGGCTCTAATTTATCTCCCACATATTTCTCAAGTCACCGTAATCTTATTTTTATCTCCACTACTCCCATTCACACTACTCTTCCCATATCACTGATACCTGCCGTCACCAAGTATAGACCCCATCTTACCTAACCTGTCAGTAACATTCAACACAGCTGATTACTCCATCTTCCTTAAAACAATCTCTTTCACTGGTTCCATTCTATCACATACTCCTGATTTTCCTCTTACTCTCTCTGGCTACTCCTCTTTATGTCTTTTGCAAGCTTTGTTGTTCCTTTTCCTGTCCTATTAATCTTGGTCTTCCTAAAGGTTTTGTTCTATGCACTCTTCTCTTCAACTGCCACCTATATGGTGGTGACACAAGTCTGTATTTTCTGTGTAGACCACATTCTTAAATACCAGATATGTATAGCTCACTTCCTGGATTATCTTCTTTTGGATTTCCTGTGAATCCTTCAAATTTAACAAATCTAAAATTGAACTCAATACCTCCTAATCTTTCTCTGTCTTAGTAAATAACAATTATACTCTACCCAACTGCCCAACATAGAGAACTTAAGAATAATTCTTGGTCTTTTTAAATAATACCTTTATTGAGCTATAGTTGACATACCATACAATTCACTCATTCAAAGTATGTACTTTAATGGTTTTTAGTATACTCACAGAGTTGTGCAATCATCACCAAAATCAATTTTAGAACATTTTTATCACCCCAAAAAGAAACGCCACTCCCATCAGCAGGCACTCCCCATTTCTTCCTACCCTCTCCCTAGGAAACCACTAATCTACTTTCTGTCTCTCTATATTAGCCTATTTCTTGATGTTTCAGAGATGGAATTATACAATCTGTGGTCTTTTGCAATCTTTCATTTAACACATTTTCTTTTTTCATTTCACTTAGCATGTTTCATTTCACTTAGCTTGTTATCAGTACTTCACTTCTTTCTATTGCTGAATAATACTCCATTTGATGGCTACCCATTCATCAGCTGATGAATGTTTATTTGTTTTCACTCTTTGGTCATTTTGAATAATGCCACTATGAACATTTGTGTACAAGTTTTGTGTGAAGTTATGTTTTCATTTTGCTTTGGGTACACACACAGGAGTGGAATTGCTGGGTCATGTGCTAAATCTATGTTTAACCTTTTCAGACTGTTTTCCAAAACCGCTATACCATTTTACATTCCCACCAGTAATTTATGATTGTTCCAGTTTATCCACATCCTACTCAACACTTGTTATTGTCTTTTTGATTACAGCAATCCTAAAAGGTATGAAATGGTTATCTCACTGTGGGTTTGATTTGCATTTCCCTGAAATTCTTGATTTTTCACTATTCCTGAGAGCTAATCAACTTGCAACTCCTGTCAATTCTCTGTAATCCTCTCATATCTATCTATTCCATTGCCATTACCCTAGTCAAGCCATGATCTACTGACTCCTGCTTGGATTACTGCAACCTCCTCCCTGGTCTCTTTGACTCTCCTCTTGCTACCTTCCAACCAACTGGCAACATATCCAGACTCTTTCACCTAAAATGGCAATTTGATGTTTTCATTTTTGGCCACCACTTAGACTCTTCAAAATCTTGCTTTTTCCCCTAGGAAAATATTCAACCTACTTAATAAAATTAATAAGGCCCCTCATGATACAGACACTGCTTACCTTTTTGGCTTTATCTCTGGCTACTGTCCTTTGGCACTCTAGCCATTGTGAGCACCTTTCAGTTTTTAAAATGTCACATTCACTGTTACCCCAAGGAGTTTTCTCATGTTGTTCCCTCTGACTAGAACTCTTATCCTCCTTCTTTGGACTTGGCCAATTTCTACTCTTCACCCTTCATCTCAGCCAAAAGCCAGAGGACCACTTACTCTAGAAAGCCTTCCCTGATTCTCCATAGGTTAGGTGATCCTGCTAAAATACTGTACACTTTCATCGTTATAGTTCCTTTTGGACTTCACTATTATTTCTTGTTTAATCATTTGTTTTCCTTGCTAAACTGAAACTCCTTGCCATAGGGCAGGGACAATGTTTATTTTGCTTGCCATTGAATCCCCAGCTTTAACATGTAACAGAAATTGAATACATACTGTTGAATATATTCAAGGATCTTAACTCATTTCTAAAGAACATGGGCTGGATACTGACATCTGTATTTTCTGATTTTTGTTCCATTATGCAAAATTCTAAGAAAACTCAGAATGAGAAAAAGTTGTTCTTTACCCTAATGTGTAACAGAGAAGTCTCTAGAGAAGATATTCCTTTAAGCCATATCATGTGCTCAAGCTTTAAACACATTTATGGAAAGCTCAGATGAAGTAAAACTATGATAGATATATAATATGTATATTAATAGGAAAAATTAGTGGCAGGGATAGATGTGGAAAAAGGACAATATCATGCCTTCCTTATTTTTCTTTGTACCTAGCAGATGCACAAGAAATTATTTCTTATTGAATACTTTCAAAGTTCTTATCAATAAAATGCTTTGTCTATTTCAGATAGAACTATGAATTCATGAAATATTATTTTTTTAAGTAATCTCTCCACCCAACGTGGGGCTCAAATTTACAACCCCAAGATCAAAAGTCACATGCTCTACCGACTGAGCCAGCCAGGCACCTCCATGAAACACTATTTTGAGTTGGCAAAAGCATTTATGTTCTGGGGCGCCTGGGTGGCTCAGTCGGTTAAGCGGCTGCCTTCGGCTCAGGTCATGATCCCAGAGTCCTGGGATCGAGCCCCACATCGGGCTCCCTGCTCAGCAGAGAGCCTGCTTCTCCCTTTCCCTCTGCCTGCCGCTCTGCCTACTTGTGCTATCTCTCTGTCAAATAAATAAATTTAAAGAAATCTTTGAAAAAACCCAAAAACATTTATGTTCTAAAGAAAATTTGAAATCAAGATGTCTTTTCTTAGAGTTTTAAAAAGAAGTCAATGTTAATCAAAGAAAATGCAAATGTATGG